TGCTGGTGAATCACACCTAGTAAATCGCCAAAGAGAAGGGTGATTTATGCTCAAATCCTGCCAAGACTTTAATCAATATTGGGTGTCACATCTCAGGGGACTGGGGGTGGTATCGAGGCAAAAAGAGGGTGGCTAGTATTTGTCTCAGTAATTTGTATACAACTTCAGTGAAATATAATAGATTAAACAAAAAGCAGCAGCAGATTTTAATAATAAAGTAATGATTTAAAAATACTACACAAAATGCTTAAAACTGTATAAGAGAACACGGAGTGAAAAAGCCTGTCCTGGTCTTCATTCTTTATAATATTTGAAGTGTCACAAAATAAAACATAATTTGTACAAATCAAATTTCTTCTCTTAGAGCATTAACTGATAAACTATAGAGTTCAGAAAGCAAAACATCTTAACCAAGTGCACTTTTAACAATAATGACTGTGATATTTTTGGAGACTAATTCCAAGAAAAATATCAAGTTGAAAGATACTACCCAAACAACTGTATTTGAGCCATGTAAATCTAGGTTAGAATATTTTTATTTTATTCATACATTTGTTATTAAATTGCAATTTTCTAACATATTTAAAGTAGAGAGAAATAAGTTCAGGGACCAAACAAACTTTCATATTTTATGCCTTGGTCTTCTAATTATGTTGCATTCCTTTTGAAATGTTATAAAATGAGACACTAGGCTTTATAGGAACCATTAATCTACTGTAATACAAAAACTTCAAAAGCATAGCCTCTCTTCATTTGAAGTAATCCTTGAATTTCTCAGTGCCAAGTATCATAATTATCTGTTAGAAGGAGTGAATCTGGATTTGTGTTGAAACTTTATCGATGCATGAGTCTGTGCCATTGAAAAACAGGCAACAGAGGAAATGTTAAATAAATATAGACTGTTTCAGCTTGCCATCTTTATTAAAACTCTCGACAAGAAAAATCAAGCCAAGAACTAGAAAAAAAAACTTATACTTCTTATACTAAAATTTTGTTCAGATATTTCTATTGAAACATAAAAGGCTTAGCAAGTCTTTCAATTTTATGTCCATGAACGGTATCAACTTTTAAGGAAAACAATATTATTTGTTAATATATGTATATATGTATATATATATATATATATATATATAATGTCTAATAAAACTAACTTGAATCTATTCAAGTTTAAAATTTCCCAAATTTAGAGCTATATAGAAGCTACATCACAATCTGGTTTGAAACATCGTGAGACAAGATCATCTTCTGACAATAATCAAAGAAATAAGCATGTTAGATAACATAACACAAGAGTCACATTTTATTACTTGAATTCACAGAAAGATGAATCCTAACCCAAATCTACAGACAGCAATTGACTCGTGCAAACAGAGACTTCATCATGTACATAATTACTTTTCTTTTGTTGTTGTTGTTGTTGTTATTTAATGGTTAGCAGTTAATTAAGTGACCTCTATTGCAATAGACAAGTCCATGCAACTAATGTTTAGTTTTAAAATAATAATTGGAGGAAGCTGGACAAGGTCAGAGTTTGCCCCTTGACAACTTTTAAATATATTTTCTTACATTTTCTTTCATGTTTTGAGACCTACACTTTTTAGTTTTACTATCTAGCAGGTGATAGTCTCTTTTTCATCATCTAGTGATAATGACAGATGGCTTAAACATTTACTCCAGTTTTCATAGACAGCATACAAATACAAGGGTCCCAGGCAAATCAACTCTACTCTAAGGATTGCTGCTAACTTACTGAGCCACTTTAAGCATAAACTCCAGTTTATGAGCCTTTCTTTTCTTTAGCATCATTTTGATTCCTTGGATTTCCTGGTATTAAGTAGTTCTGAGAGTCATAATTAGATATATGTTCTATAAAAATCTAAGAGTACTAAGATTTGATATTTCTTTCACTCACACACACATACCATGTGTACCTATGTATTCATAATACTATCTATACACTATATATAAATACAAACATATACACATGTAATTTTATATAATTTGCCTTCTTGCACTATTTCTCTTATAGTCTGTGTAAATTATGTCCTTAGTCTGTTAAATAGCTAGAGTAGAAACAAGAGTGAAAGGATCAATATGTCTAGATAAATGAAAAAAAAAAGATTTTTAAAAGCAAAGTTGTAAATTGGATTTAAATAAAATGGAATTTTTTAAATTTAAAATGCAAAACATTTAGATTGTTGCTTTCAAAGTAAAGAAATAAAACAACAACACTGGTAATTACCATTGAAAATAATGATGTCAGCATTGTAATATGCAAACAGTACATTTTGGTGAAGGATAGTTCAATTTTAAATTTAAATTTTCTTTTTCTTTTCCTTGCTGTGGTGGGGATTGAACCCTTCAATTACAAATTTTCTATTTCCTTAGTCAATGACAGAGTTAGGAAAACCTAGGTAGATATCAACAACTACACTTCTTCTCAGGTTAATGACTACATATTTGCATGTATTTAAGTTTGAGCAAGCTTTTTAGTTGGTATAAGATCAAAATTCAAAATTAAATCAATAAACTTCCCATATTTAATTTAAAAATAACCTAAAATGGGATTTTAGAACAACACATTTAATTGCAAAGTATTAAGGCCAGGTAATTGAAACATAATTAGAGTAACGATGAGATATTTTTGGAGGGATGAACAGTTCCACTGGATTTAACTTATCTTAGTTCTGAAAGTTTAAACTCAGAGCTGTTAATCTCAGGGGGAAAAAAGAAAAAAACTTTTTAAAATGTCTAGTTAATAACTTTAGGACTATTCTTCAACCATTTGATGAGGACTTTAAAGTCTGAACAAAAATTCACAAAATAAAAATAATCAAGTGTTACATTAATTACAACATTATAATGCAATCACTGAAGGAACTTTTCTCAAACAATTGTGAATGTGTGTACTAAAATGGGCATTGATTATCTCTACAATGTGTTCCATACACACACACACACACACACACACACACACACACACACATAAAATGCGCGCGCGAGCGCGCGCACACACAGCATTTGGAGAAAACCAGCCAGTTACCAATTTATTGGACAGCCAATTTTGTAACAATCGGATTTGAACTGACTTAATTTTTACATAACATTCTTCAGAACAACTCCAAAATAATAGTCTGTCCTGGTTCGAATGTGGATTTGGGGCAAATATTTTACCTTATGGATGAGTAAGTGAGTAAGAACTCCAATTGTCTGAGTAAATGATGTTTAGTGATCATGGTCACCCCCACCCCCATCTCTACTGCCACCTGCCCATGCACTTGGTCACTCATGCGCGCATACACACACACACACACACACACACACACACACACACACACACAGAATATACTAAAAAAAAATTCAAATTGAAGGTTCAAAACCGAGATATACATCTTTGTTTCATGTGAAGAAAGGCAAATAAACATGGAAAAGAATGTCTGGCAAGGTCAGGATAAGACATGTGCTTCTTTGAGTTTGAGTCTTTTGGGGTTTACAACCTTCTCCAGCAGTACCCAGGAATCTTTCTCCAAGGAAGGAATCGCTAGTGGCTTTTTGCATTATCATTTTTACCTGGTCTCCTCTCTTTCCTTCCACTTCAGCTTCCCTAGCTCTTCTAGGGACACACACTAACTCCATTCCTTCGGTCTTTAAACTTATTTAGAAGGTAGCGAAGTTTCCGCTTAAATTTTGCGCCCTGTTCCCACGTGCCTGCCTGTGGTCTCCAACTTTCCGTATTCGCTTTCTCTAGGAATCTCTGAACTTTTCCCTCTGCGCTTCCCTGAAGCGAGCGGTGGTGGGGACAAAGCGGAATTGCGAAAGCGAGTGGAATCTTCATTTCTACCCCAAATTGACAAGTTACCCCACTCCCGCCCCCTCCTGGTAGAACCTCCCCCACTGAGCATCATTAGCATAAAACTGGTAGGGCCCTGGGACCTATCCTGAAGCCTCCTCTGGGCGCGCCTTTGCGGGGCTGGAAAGCCAGCGCAGACAAGTATTCAGGCCCGCAGAGCATCCCAGTGCAAAACGTGCACCTGCTCCTTGCGGGAGCTACTGGCCTTTAAAAAAAGAAGAAGAAGATGAAAGAAAGAAGAGAAAAAGAAAGAAATGAAAAAAGAAGTCGCACTTTGAAATGAGTGAGCAAGCGAACGCGCAGTGGTCTTCCTTTCCAGTCTCCCTAGTTCGGCTTTCTAAAGTCTGGGGCACCCGCTCACCTTCCCCAATAGAAGAAAACCTGCTGGTGCCCTCGCATCTGTCTTGGGGCAATCATAACCCCTTTATTTCCTTTGCACACGCACACGCTCACACGCGGACACACACATGCGCACACACACGGACCCTCCCTTCGAAAAGCTGTCCCTTGGGACTTGGGGCTGAACTCCCTGAGTGTACCCCGGGATTGCCCAGGGTCTCTCAGCCTCAGGAGTCGTTCCCTATCTGACCTCAAAGTGCCCTCGTCGACTGCCAACCCACTCCCTTGGCCTCCTAACCGGCGGCTCACCCGGAGAGTGTCTCCTTGCTCCAAGAACCCTGCGGGGCAGGGTCACGACCTCCCCCCGCCCCGGGAGGTGCCCAGAGGCTTGCGGTGGAACCCAGGTCCCGGGGAGCGCACACTCCGGCAACAGCTCGGAGAGAGGTTCCCAGAAGCCGACGCGCGCCGGGAAGGGGGCAGTGGCTCCTAGAAAGGCGCCGTCCTCCTTCCCGCCCCCTCCGCCCTGAGTCTTGGGGTTCCCAAGCCCCACAGCATCCAAGAGCTGGCGGCCAGTCGAGCAAAGATTGACCTGGCCGAAAGAGAGCTAGATTTGGGCAGAGTGAAGTGCCAACTTGTCAGGGGGTCGGGCGCGGCTGGCGAGCTCCGAAGAAGAAAACCAGAGGGCCGCGCTCGCAAGGACGCGCGGCTCGCGGGCGCGCGGAGCAAGCAGAGCCGGAAAGGGAGCAGGGAAAGGGCGAGGAGGCGGGTGGGAAGGGGCCGGGGGCGGCAGAGGCTACACTCTGCTCTTTACCTTGCGTTGGTGCAGTCATTGTAGAGAGTCTCGAAGTCCTTCCTGGAGATGAGTTTGCAGCGGTTCACTCCGGGCTGGATGGCGCCCAGTCCCCTCAGGATGCGAACCTGTTCCACATTGCACACCACCGGCGTGATCTCCAACCGCTTCAGCTTGGTGTAGACCGTGTGCAAGCCCCCCACCAAGTGCTTCAGGAACAGGTCGAAAGCCTGGGGCAGGCAGATCAGCTCGCAGCCCTCCACCGTGAAGGAAGCCACTTTGGCCCCCCTCAGATCCACCATTTTGCACTCATTATTCTGGGGGGTGTTTTCCACTGGGGACGGGGTTGAGTACACGGGTTTCCCGGGGAGGGGGCCGCAGCTGCTGCTGCTGCTGCTACTGCTGCTGCTACTACTGCTACTGCTGCTGCTGCTACTGCT